TGAAGAAGGGTCCAGACCCAAAACGCCAGCTTTCCTGCTCCTCTGATACTGCTTGGCCTGCTGTGTTCATCCAGCTCTACACCTTGTTATCTCAGATTCTCCAGCATCTGCAGTTCCTACTATCTCTTGACAGCATGATGCTTCCTTATCACCAGTAATGTTGTGAGTGCATAAGGAGAATGTAGAAAGATAACCCAGGAAGATTTACACTGGCACAGCAGACACACAAGATCAAAGAAAACAGCTGTGTAACAGAGTAAGGCTCTTCAACTGGTCATAGCTCCATCACTCCATTGCAAAAAAACTTTGCTGGTTTGCAAGACTCTGGCTTAGCACTTTAAGTACAAAAGAATATTCTTGAGTCTAATGATAGAAATTAAGTATTTTAATATTATTAAATAGACAAAAAGAAGCCATTGCATTTAAGAGTCATGAAGTTACTTGAATTCTTATTGCAAAGTTATAGGAAAAAACAGCTAAACAGCTTATAAATTCTAGGTTTTCCTTTTAGCTCTCTATACAGTTAACAGTGATAATCAGGAACAATACATTTTACAAAATGAAGGTTGTAGCACTCTTGACTGTATTCACACCTCTGTTAATACTTCCAAAAGATCACCAGAATAAACTTTTCAAAATTAAAGTGTCTTATATTTATGAAAAACAAAGTGATCTTTCTTAAAGCACAGTCAATGCCTATGTTAAGAGATCCAATTTCAGGGCACTGCTGATTATGTGTCTGAACACATCCTTGTATACTTCAAAATTAAAAGTATGTTAATGAGAAAGACAACAACGATGATTATGCTGGGTGTGTGAGGAGAGAGTGCAACTTTGAAATATTTTATTATTAATACCACAAGAATCTAATCTAACCACATCTAATTACCGTCATATTAAAGTAGCTCTAAACTGGAGAATTTTGAGTGAGGAAGCTATCCACCTTGCAACCCAAGTGGTGGTTAGGTCTGTTCGCTGTTTGTGTTTTATACTGTCCTGCCCCTCTGCTTTCCTTTATACCCTCTGAAGGCTGCTTTGCGAAAGATGGAACATGGCTTCCCACCTGCACAGAAACCAGCTCCTTCGTTTCCAAAACAGCAGTCATCCATGGCCTTACAAAGGAATACCAATAACAAAAGTAAAACATGCAATTTATGGGTTTATAAAAAGAGGCCAAACAGGCCTGGTGTGACTTTGGGACACAATATAATTTCTCACTGCAACGCAAATACTCTGACGAACTTAACTGGTTTGGTATGTATATAGAAGGTTCAGGAGAGAGTTGCTTACTGAATAGGATGCTAGAGTGTAGAATGGACCTGACCATCACATTACCATGTGTAAAATGTTGAAGGCATGGGATTAGGAGACAATTGGCCATCAGTTGTTGCACACCACAATGATTTTTAAGGCTGTTTGTTTTGCAGAAGCTGTAAATTTTCCATTTGTTAATGTCTTTTGTACTATCGGGTCCTTTTGTTGCAAGCTGAGACCTTTCAATTTTCAAAATATTTAGATCTGTCCTTGGAGGGAGCCCTTTAAAACAAGCGCCTGTGCACATTCTTCAAGCAGAATCAACAGATGTTTATTCACTGTCACTTGACAACTTGGGTCATGCAGCTCAATTCCTAAATTCATCGTAGAATTGCTGGCAGCCAGGGGTGCGGCTCTTTAGAGGTTTTCAGGGTGTATCTGCAGAGTCTGGGACAGTGCAGAATGAAAGCTTGCACAACATCCACGGCCACCACACAGTAGCAATGAATCTCTTCTAAAGACAAGCAGCAAGATGCCAGTCTCATCAAGGCCTGGTTCAGTTCATCAGAGGATGTTGTTTGCAGAACAATCCTTTTTAACGTGTTGTGATAGTTCTGAGAGATAAAGTTGACTTGCTCCACCATAAACGTGAAGGTACTTAATTCTAGGCTGGCCGCTGGGATAGTAGGCTGCAGGATTTGGGGTATTTTCTTAGCAGGGACTGTATGGTCCAGCTCGATGTCCACAGAAAGAGTAGGGTATCTCTTTGCCAGAGCCTCCCACATCTCAGCTGAGATAGTTGGATTATATTTATCCATACGCTCACAGTGTAGCTGAAGGAGTTTCAATGGCGGTCGCTTGGCATTCAGTAGCTCAGCTAGGATGTTTTCTGTCAGGCTTGCATAAAACAATCCCAGAGCAGCCAGATTTGGGCAACTCCTCAGGGCCTCCTGAAGAGTTTCGGAAGTCACCTTGCACACAAGCGTCTTATTATTGATGAACAAACTCTCCAAAGATGGACTTCTGCTGGTGACAAGTTGGACAATGCTATCATCCAAAGTGAATGGCATTTCTCGGAAGTCAATGTGGCGGAGACGTACGTAGGAGGCTGTTTTAAATAAACTTTTGATACTTTGCAGCAAGTCCTGCCCGGAATAGAAGTAAGGATTTTCACCAATACATACAGTGGAGAGGCCCAACAGTTCCGTTGCCGATTCAGACAAGTTGTGTAGAATTTGGACAAAGTTCTTGCGATTTGCTTCGAAAGACTGATTGCACAAAATCTTCAGGTATTTGATATGATGCTGGAACTGTTGGCATGCATGCACATTCTGGTCATTTTCCTCTCCAGAGTCACACCTGACAGCAAAAGTACAGCAAACAGTCAGTACAAAGATACCATGTGAACAAGGCACAATTCAGAGACAATTAAATATCATCCTGCTGTAAGCCTGGACCACGTCATCCTAAGACTATGCACATTTGTTGGTTGCTCTCGCGTTGACTGCCGTGAGCATGGATCAAATCGAAGCTTAGTAAGGATTTAATCATCTCAAAAATGTGGTTGTAGACAGACAGCAATGTCATTTCAGGATCATGCACAAGCACTGATCCAGTTTGTTGTATGTGAACATGGAGTGAAAAAGGATTAAATGGAGCCACAGAAACAGACTTCACTTTACCCGATGAATACAGCAACTGGTCCCTCTAGGCTGTCAACAAAAAGCACAGAATTAAACACAATAGTCACAAGTACCTTGAATGGGTAGATATGACCTAGAATGATACAGCATGCAAACTGGCCATTCAACTCAGCATACCTGCGCTGGTCCCTGAAAGAGCTATTCAAATAGCCACTCTTCCCTGGTTCCTTAACATTATCCATAATTTCCCTTTTGAACATTACAATACAACTTGTCTCCACCATCCACTCAGACTGTGAATTCAAAATCTGCAGCATAATATTTTTCCTTTAAAGTCACTTCTTAAATTTGTTTCTGAAATTGCTGATCCTTCTCCCACTGGAAGTGGTTTCTTCAAATTTACTTTATCAAAATTGTTCATGATTTTGAACATCTCTGTCAAACTTTCCCTCAGCCTTCACTGCTCAAAAGATAACATTAAGTTTCTACTGAAGTCCCAAATTCCTGATAGCATTATAGTGATTCTCTACTGCTAGCTCTCCAAGACATGGCTATACTTTCTGAAGTGTGCTGAACAGCACTGAACAGAACATTCCAGCTGTGGTTTAGCATTATTGCAAACATTTTCCCTAAATTGTTACACTTGCATTCCATTCCTCTACTTATAAAGTCAACGGTGCTGTATGCCTTCTCAATCTGTACAGCCACTTCCAAAGATCTGTGAACATACACCAACAGGCCTCTTTGTTCTTGCAACTTCTTTAAAACTGTACCAATTCCTTGTTCTTCCTATCAAGATACATCACTTCATACCTCTCTGTATTAAATTTCATCTGCCACCAGTCTGTGTCCTAAGTAAAGTCTGTCACTATCCATCTCACTGTCTACTACATTTTGAAGTTTTGCACCATCTGTAAACTTTGAAAAGATATCCAATGTCCCCAGGTTTAGAGAAATGCTGATCCCTGGGGGACACTATGGTATATTTCCCTTCAAATAACTGACATGACAGCTCTTTGTTCTTTCTGTTTCTTAGCCAATTTTGTATCCACCTCAGCTACTGCTCTTGTAATCACATATATTTCAATTTTGCTAAAACTTTTATGTAATATTTTAATAATCGTCCTTTTGAAAATTCATACATATAATGTCAGCTGTAATTCTCTCATCAACATTCTCTGTTGCTTATCATATAAAGCACAACAATCAAACACAATGTGCTTCTTAAAAGTCTGTGCTGATTTTCATTTTCTATTGTATCTATTTTCCAAGGGCCACTTCTGGATCCTGGATTATTATCTGTGAAAGTTTCCCCACTACTGTATTAGTTTGTTTGGCCTGTACTTGCTGGGGTCATTCTTCTCTTGTCTTTTGAACAGAGGTCTAGCATTTGCAATCCTCCAGTCTTTTAGTAGCCCATATCTAAACGGGCCAGAGCCTATGCAATTCCCACCCTCACTTCCTTCAGTAAGCTAGATGTTTCCTATGTATTCTGGGGATTTTTCTATCAGCACTGCCAATCTTTTAAGTACTTCCTCTTTATCTGTTTTTATCTTGTCCAGATTTCTCTATCAGCCTCTCCTTTATGTGATTCTCGGTTCTTTCGTGAATGTAGATACAAATGGTTAGATATTATTAGAAGCTCCTTTTATCAGTTTCAGTTTAAATACCTTATTTTCAGTTGGCACAGAGATCTAGCATTGGATGTCTTTCCTTTTGTCCCTTACAGGAATATATTTAGTCCGTACCTGAACGATTTCCACTTTGAAGATTTACCATTGCTCTTTTACTATTTTTGTTTTTATTACTGTCCTTTGTTTCCAACCCACTTGACTCAGATCTTTCTTCAAATCAATATTAGCCCTCCATCAACTGAGTACTTTCACATGAGGTTCTTCCTCGTCCTTATTTGTAACTATTTCAAGATGTAATGATATTGTGACCATTGCTTCCTAAATGCTTGTCCACTGAAACATGCATGACTTGACCTACTTCATTCCCCATAGCTGGAGCCAGCATTGCTTTCTTTCCAATGGATCAAAAAAGTTGTCTTGTACACATTACAAGAATTCCTTTCACTCTTTGCCCCAAACTCAGTTCATTTTTGCATGATTAAAGTCTTTTGTTAATACCTTGCTAAACATCTTGAAACTTTCTGCAATTTATCTGCAGGTTTGCTCCAATATCTCCTTCCCACTACTCGGTGGCCTACAGTATAGGCTCAACTGGAGGACAACCCCCTTGTTGGTCCTTAAACTCTAACCAAATAGATTTGTCATTGAACTCTCCAAAACATCAATCATTACTTTAGCAGTCCCACCTTTTCAACCTTGCCCCTTGCCTGAGGCACGGTAACCCTCAGATTAAACTCTCTCAAATGGAGAGATCTTCTGGGACTATGATGACTTTTTACTTTGTGTGATAATCCCATGTGTAACTGCACTGATGGCTCACCAACCTTATTTGCATGCAGTCCAAAAGTGTCTTAATCTGCTCTGCATTTCTTTCCTGTCTGATCCCTTCTATTTCTGAACTACTATTTATACGAATGCCATTTGTCTCTTTTAAAACTTTATAGACTTTGTATTTCCTCGCTACATTTAACATATTTCCATTTAGGAGTGATAAATAATGTGGAACTTGTAAAACCTCCAACTGGAGCTCTCAAGCTGTGCTTCTGCTGTTTGCTCAAACATTCATCGACATTTTTAACTTTCGAACTTGCAAATCTATTCTTAAACGGATCATTTGCTAAACTGACTCTGTGCATGCTTTTATGGATGAACTTCAAAAAGTAGAGTGCAATCAGTGAAATTGTCCTTACTTTGCTGCATTCTTAAGATACACCCTGGAGGTAAGATCATGTCAATCACTTCATTTGGCTAAATAGTCACTCTGCTTTAATGCCCCATACATAACTGAAGCAGCATTACCACCAAACTGCAACTTCCCTGATTTATTTCAGGGATCTTACACCTTCTTCAATTGTGTAATTTTTAATCGAACAAGCTCCATATGACGTGCACATCACACTCATTTTGGCTACCACTCCCCTTCAGACAGCAAATCTGAAAAAATATTTTTATAAAAACATTTTTAAGCTCAGCAACGCCTGTTGGGTTTAAGGTGTGGCGGTTTCAGGTCCATGAGGTTGGAAAGCTCAGACTAAATATTCCAGACTGAGCACTGGGACTAGGTCACAGTGTACACATCGCACGCATCTTTCCTAGGTAAGAGCTCCCTTCAAAAATGTATATTCATTGTAAGACTGCCCCAGCCATGGGCTGTGCGTTAACTTGCGCGTGTGGATGGGACACAGGGTGCAAGCAGTAACTCCTAATGTTAGTTCCAATCAAAACATCAAAACTAATATTTGCATTGTTGAGCAATGAAATCCACTGAGATTCAGGTGGATTTGAAAATGCTACCTCTGCGATGTTCTGCTGCGCAAGGCATTTGGTGCCAAGGGCTGCCTCAAGATGCCATGGCTCAGTGGTAACAGTCTCACTGCCAAGTCAGATTATGCTTATTCACAATATACAGCCACAGGAGTTCACTGTCAGTCTGCTGCAGTCTCAGCGAAAATGCTGCCTTTTTATGGGCCATGTCTCGGGCGAAAACTTTCCGGTGCTGTGGTTGGGCTTCAAAGTGAGACTGAGATGTCAGGTTAAGGTCAGATCTTCCCAGAGGCACCTGCAGAAGCTACCCGTCTGACAGAGCCCATTTGCAGGGTCATTGGGGTCACCACTGGATATGCCTTGTGGCAGATGTGTCCATCACTGACAGCAAAACCTGCTAGAAGCCTGAAAGCTGTTCGCCAGGAACGTGGCCTGGGGCTGTCAGGCCTCCATCACCAAACCCCCTCCAACCTGAGCAGCAGCTATCAGTGGACGACTGTTGCAGCATTCAGCCATCCTGTGGAGAGGCTTCCCCTCCACTGAAGTGGCACAAAAACACAAGAAACAGGAGCAGGAATAGAGCGTACAGCCCAATAAGCCTGCTGCACCTTTCATTATGACAATGACTTACCTTAGGCATCAACTCCCACCACCTCTCCATTTCCTTTGATTCTTCTGAGAAATCAAAAATCTGTCTATCCCTCTCTTAAATATAGTCATCCACAACCTCCCGGAATAGAGAATTCCAGTGACTGAGTGAAGAAATCTTTCCTCACCTCAGATTCAAATGGTTGACTACTCATCCTGAGCCTGTGCTACCATTCCCCAGTCAGTGGAAACAGTTTGTCAGTGCCTACTCTGTGAAACACCTTCAGAATTTTGTATGTTTCAATGGATCATCTCTCATTCTTGTAAACTTGAGAACATAGACCCAATTTCCACAGTCTTTAATAAAACAATCCTCTTACTTGGGGCACCAATCTACTGAATCTTCACTGTACTACATTCAACACAGGTATACACACACCATCCTAAAAGGCAGGTTGATTCCACCCATCTCCACTCTTTCAACTCTGAAGTTTCCAAGATCACAACAAAACCTGTTCTGGTCCGGAATGCTCTGTCTAAAAGGGTGGTGTAGACAGAATCAATCGTCACTTTCAAAGGTAACAGGATACATATTTAAATTTAAGGCCTACGGGGAAAGAACAGGAAATCGGACAGTTTTTATCAAGAGTTGGCACAGATACAATAGGCTGAATGGCTTCCTTCTTTATTCCATCTTTACATTTTCTATCCGTTTATAGAAAATAACTATATATAACCAGCCAGAACAACTATGTGATTGGATGAGGGGGCCCACGAACCACCAGCAACTAACTCAAAGTCCATGCCCCAGCAAATATATTATTCAACTTGAATGAAACATTCAAAACAAAACAAATAAAAAGGTTTTGTTTATTCATTGAGTTCTGAAGAAGGGTCACCAGACCCAAAAAGTTAACTCTGATTTTTCTTCACAGGCGCTGCCAGACCTGCTGAACTTTCCCAACAACTTCTGTTTTTGTTTCATTTATTCAGGGTGGGCAATATTGTAACATTTCAAGCCCAGCATTTAAAGGATTATTTGCAACAAGGACTATATGCAATGGCTACTACTCATCAGACAGATAAATGCAGCAGAATATCCACTCACCTCACTACAGTGTAATACCACACAGCAGGAGAAGCAACAGCCTCTGCCCATTTTCTGCAGACTTGTGAGACTGAGTGCCTTTCACACACCAACAGGTAGGAAAATATCAAGGCCAAGATCTCCTCAGGCATTTCCATTCATTTGGTTTAGTTTTCCTGCTTGTTCAACACAAACTTGACTCTCTGGGAGGTGACAGCGGTGCACAGGAGTACCTTATGACAACAAGAACATTAGTTACTGCAGAACTGTTTCTGAACCATGTCTGAATCTTTCATTTTATGAGAGAAGATTTCCCACAGAGTAAGAAAGAAAGTTTGCATAGGCAATTTCATTCAGTCTAAAACAGCCAGCACCAAGCAATACCGCACTAAGAACAAATGAGCAGTTGGCAGGTTTTAATTCAATTGACGGGTTCTCTACATTTCTAGTTGGCAGGGATTTGCACATTGTTAGACTCTATCAGCCGTTTTGCAATCTACTTGCAAGCTGTCCTAAACCCGATTCATTAATCTTGTGACTCTTCCATGAGCTTATGCATTGTTGAATCTGATCCTAAATGAATGAAATGTAATCAGTAACAGACGCAAATAACTCAAAGCGAAAAAAGTCAACTGTGTTACTTTATTTATGCTCATGTGACATACTTAATTCTGTCAATGACATTGAGAATGTTTGATGCTCGGTTGAAACCTTGCCCTCTGTGATTGTCTAATGGGAACCAGAGATGTGGTCCCCATGATCTTCTGACTATTAAAGTTCATCAATAGGGAACTGTGAGGAATGGAGACAGATTTTCTGAATGTGAGCCTGAAGAACAAGGTTCCACCCTTGGTAACACACATTCAGGGAATTACACACACTGGCCAATTTCAGTTCAATCTATTCCTTTAAAGATTAAGACTCAACAACACCAAAAATTCCTGTGTGTGATCTCCCCAAGTCAGAGCGGTTGTATTATAATGTGACACCTTTGTAGTTGGCAAGTTATTATTTTATAATATACACATATGGTTATATTTAATATAATTAGAGCAGCAAAAAAAAAGCAGCTGGGGAAAAAAAAGAGTTAATGGTGAGTTAAGTAAAAGCAAAACATGCAGATGTTGGTATTCTCCAGTATTTTCTGTTTTTATTAATGAATTAGATCAGTTTGCATCAATGTTACAACAGCTTGTAGCAGAATTAAGCATCTAATCTGAGTTCTGAGGAAGGGTCACTGGACCCGAAACCTTAACCTCTGATTTCTTTCCACAAATGCTGCCAGAACTACCGAACTTTTCTGGCAAATTCTGTTTTGTTTCTTATTTTAAGCATCCTCATTTCTTTCAGTCTTTATGAAGCATTTAATCTTGTTAGTACTGGGTAAAACTAACAGCCACTTCTGGTGTCTGTATATGTGCAGCTAAATGCAGAAACCTGAAAGTTGTTGTCAGTGATAACTTGCCCCTCCAAAGCCTGTTGTTGAGTATTTTTTCTCAAAAGCATTACTATAGAAATCCCTGTTATGATGTGAACATAAACTAATGACCCACTAGTATTGTACTAAAAACCAATGAAACATTGAAGTCTTGTTTAATCAGCATGTGGAGGTGCCGGTATTGGACTGGGGTGGACAAAGTCGGAAGTCACACACCACCAGGTTATAGTCCAACAGGTGAATTTGAAATCACAAGCTTTCGGAGTGCCGCCCCTTTGTCAGGTGAAGTGACATTCTCAAGCTTGTGATTTCAAATAACTTAGTTGGATTATAACCTGGTGTCATGTGACTTCTGACTTTGTTTAATCAGGAGCAATTACAATTTAAATAATTCACTATAATTCATTAATTGCTGAAACTCACTGGAACTGAAAAATTAATAAGTGTGATATTTCATTCCCCAAGCTTAATTGTTGTGAATTCTTAGAAAAAAGAAATATTGTTTTTTTCAAAATTTCTCCCTTAATCCTGTGTGTATGTTACAATCTTTATATTGTAAAAGATAAATGTAATCCTATTTCTTTTTCTTTTGCTTTACCATTTACAATTCATGATGATTCTTCAATTTGACTGGATGCTGGATATTACAGACCCTTACAGAAAATACCAAATTCATACAAGCAGCAGAAGAGACGGTCTGTACTCCAGAGCCAGTGAAAACTTTGAGGGCATCTGTTCTTAAGCTCAGTCATAAACACCATCTATTGCTACATCTGGTGCAATATATGGGTCGATTTTCAAGAAACAACTGGGGTTTACTCTGGTTCTCATTATGCCCATTTTAATTCTACACTGCAGCTGTCGATCAGACCAACTTGCAGATCAGGGAGAATTCAGAAATATAAATTCAACTATTTATCTCCCTCCTAATGCCCACACACCAACACCACAAAGCCAAACACAGTTCAACAGCTCCATCAGAAATAGTTTAAACAGTTAACAATTTCCCTGATAAATGCTTCGTTCTGAGGTTTTAGTTTTGCTCCATCCCTCCTTCTTCGTGTGTTTTTATAAGTTTTTTTTTTATACCTGGCATTCTGATTACCATGCTGGCTTGATCATGGCTCACTCTGAACATCAGCCATGGCCTCTTTTGTGCACACATATTGTAGGAGTTAGATGATTATCTTTGGTTAATTTTACTCCTCGGTTTGAAACACCTTTCAGTATCACACTGAGATGTGTATGCCTCTATCTCCACTAGAGGTCAGTAAATCACATCTCCAGCTCTCCAAAGCCAAATTTGTATTTCAGCATGGATTCCAGACATTTTCCTATATCAGAAAATGATTTAATGACTGGATTTCCTTTGAGTACAAAGGTAACTCGATTTTCTTTTGACCATGTACAGAGTCCATCCCATGCACACAGCTCATCTGAAACATGTCACTATCCAGGAATCTGGGTGCCACTTCTCCAGGTGACAGGCCAGTACTTTGCTTAGCATCATTTTGAACATTTTCAAAGTCGTTTCAATCTTGAGTAGATGTAATTCAGCATCCTAATTACTTGTTCCATTTCCAAACCAATGGCACTACCTCAGCATTGTCTCTCTTTCTGGCAATGTGGGACAACTGGACCTCTTTAATGTGTCACCAGGAAACACTTCCTCGTCTCCTTCACAGACAACTTTCTAGTATAGCATTCTCTGCAGCTCTTTGTATCAAGTAGTTTGCAATCACTTTCCAAACCATTTGAATTTTGTCAAATTAGAAACAACAAATAGTCAATTTTTACATTAGCCACCATTTGCCTCCCTTTCTGGTGTGTGTGTGTGTGTGTGTGTGTGTGTGTGTTTGTGTATGTGTGTGTATGTGTGTGTGGTGCAATTAGCTCATTTTGCTCCATTGCGAGAATCTGGTGCAGATTGCTACCAATAGAGTATGTGTGATAGTTCATACAGGTCTGTCTTATACCTTGCCCACACAGCTACAGTGTGGTGCTCTCAAGCTACATAACCGCAGATTTCTAACAGAGAGAGAGATGCCTATGCTCCCCCTAGACATGGTTAATTACTTTATGACATAACATTCATTTTTGTGCTTGATGTCTGGTCTTAGATTTCTTTCTGATGAATCATATCGGCAGTCTTACTTTTATGATACCATTGCTGGTTTGTGTGTGACTTTCTTAACCTCACCTGGACACTTGTCAAGATGACCATCCTGTGGAACATCAAGTTCAGTCTTCAGTAGCTTGCCAAGAGAAATGATTACATCAGGACAAGTCTGAACCCACAGTCAGTCGATCCTTCATCTGCAGCATCACAGTTAAAGTCCAGCCTCAGAGAGATGAAGGTCCATGTATTTAATTTCTTCTTCATTCCATCTTCATATCATCCTAGCTCACTCTGGTATATTTTTGTTAGCATTGCTTCACTGGTTTCTCCAGTTGCTGTTGTCCTGTTCACCCGTAACCTAGCCTAAATTTCAGCCATCACACCAGTAAGACTCTCCTGGCTTTATTTTAAAGTGCCTCGTGCCTTTTGGCATATTTTACTTTTTGAAAAATCATTCAGAGATTTGGAGATTCCACAGCAATGTCTCTTCCTAACAAGCTTGTAATAGTAGGCAGCAGATTCTTCAGCTAACAGGGTGAGCAAAATTCAACTCTTTGGGTTCACGATGGTGGTTGCTAGTTTCACCAGGGCTTTTATGTGGCTGAAAGTGAGGACACTGTCAAGTAGTTTTTGATTATGATTTCCTTTTGTTATTATTGAAGATGTCCAGTTGGTCCAATGTACTAATGTGGACTTCTTGGGTATGTTATGATATATTGCTGTCATAATGAGACATGACCTCGACCCTTCATTCAACACTTGGACCGAGTGCCTTTGAATTGTTAATTGTGTTTAATTATATACAGATAATGGGCATTATAACTGAGGATTATGTGTTCTCATATGCAGAGGCGCAGACCAAAGCTTGGTCTTCTAAACACACACTCTCAGTCTCTAATCGCTCTCCTGCTCTCACAGCTTGTTGGCTCTCCACACTCTTGAGTCACGCAATTTTCAAGTCTTAACAAAGGTCACACCAGGTAAAACTCTGGGAAGCACTCTGCCAAAACATGCAGGGGCGATTGATGAGTCATATAGGAGGCTGATAAAACAGGTTAGTGTGAAGCTTGAAATCTGTACTTTAAAAGTAAGTACCAGAGGTCACCACTACACCTAATTTTAACCATCCACTGGAGCTTGACTTACACAAGGTAGTTCCCATGCATCTAAAGATTAGGACAAATATATTTTATCAAACTGGCAACCAGATTTAGTGTCTCAATAATAATACCTGAAAAGTACAAAAAGTGTTATCACAGAGATGATGATGGGGCAATGGACAGGAACTAGATTTGAGCTACCAATTAAAATTCTTACTGACCATGGAAGGTAATTTGCCAATGAGAAGTTCAGAGACGTGGGTCAATACATGAAATTCACGGACATGAATACAGCAGTTGTACTCTATGCTGAAAGAAGTCCTTTCAGCAATAGACTTTGTGTGGGAAACATGCTGTGATCAATGAAATGCTGCACAAAAGTTTAGCTGATCAATAAGACTACAATTCGAGAAACATTTTAGCATGGTTCATGCAAAGAATTAATTCAAGATTGTGGAAAGATATCGTTCTTATCGATTAGACTCTGGACACAATCCAAACTTGCTTTCAGTTTTGTATGTTGATCTTTCTGTTTTCAAAGCTACTATTAGTTACCGTTTCTCCTGAATATTTGAA